AGTACTGTAATAAGAAGCAGTAAATAGAATAGTACATTCATGTTTATTCTGTATTCGGAAGTAGGCCCCCTCAAAATTGTAGGCCCATGCCAACTGTCCCCCCCCTCTGTTCTGGCCTAAAAGGAAGTATTAAAAAAGAAGAAAAAAAAACAAAGGAAAAAAAAAGGGAGCCAGGAAAGAAAATCACTTATTTTACTTAACAGCGACGTTTCCAGCAATTGCTCGTCAGGTTTGATATTTCTTATCAAATATTTTTTTACTGGATGTTTTTTGTTTTCATATTCATTTTGATGTTATTCTACAGTCTACAGCTTTGTGACCTGAAATTGACAGTGTTTTCAGGTTTACAAAATAATGTCGAAAATAAACCACGCGCTTAGAACAAATATTAATACAATGTCTAGGACACTAGTAGTGCTGCCACTAGTAGTGGGACTAATAATAACACATGAAAGTGTCTAAACTAGTTTCAGTGTCTTTATTCTAATATGTTGTTCCAAAATATTTTTATCTTTTTATGTTAATTTAGCTAACATACACGGTCTTGTGTGTTTTACATTGTAAAATAATAATAATTATAGATATACTAAATCGGCTGCTTACAAGCTTGGTAAAGACCTGCATATCAGTATTATGATAAAGTGGTTAGGTAAAGGTAAAAAGATACTGCGTTTTTCAATCTAATAATTATTAGTCGAGAGTGACGACATATGTAAATTTCAGGTCGGTTCAACCCTATATACTACAACACAGGATTTTATAGCGTGTATTCTTTAACTGTGTGGAAGTATAAAGGAGGAAGGGGAGATAATTGACGTAAGCAAGTAAGGCATGCATGTGGTTTGTACTTCCGGTTTTCTTAGGAACCGCTGCAGCATGTATTGTGCATAAGCGTGTGTGGATTTTAATTTCAGTTCCATTATAGCAGTTGTTCGTGTATTGTATCCAAATTATACATGAAAGTTTGAGTTACACGAACTAAACGTGAAGAATATTGTTTTTAAACTCAGTAGTTTATTTTTTCTTTTTTAAAAATAGTGTACATATCTCGGGAGTAAAAAAGATAGGTATGTATGCTTAGTATTACTTCCAAAAGTTTTTAACTGTATCTGTTCATTGATTTTCGGGCTTCATTTGATATAAACACAGAGAAGTCCAAAAGCTTTATGTTAGATTCTTAATATAAGTTTAATTCATGCAGATTGAAACGTGTCAAACTGACATTTTCTGAGGAACTTGTATGTGGATACAAGTCTTCATCACTTAAGAAGTAATTAAAACTAATCGTTAACTTGTTTCATCTCAAAGACCATATCAAGAGACACAGTTATAAACACTTCGTTTAAATCAAAATTACATGCACTGGTAAAAGTTAGGTGCTATAATTTATTCTTATTAGTTCCTTTGTTTATTATTTGTTGACTGTACTGGCATATGTTAGGTATCATATCCTCTTTCTTCAGTCCTTGTGTTTATTATTTGTAAACTGTACTGGTGTTTGTTAGTTGATGCACTTGGTTTCTTCAGTCCTTGAGTTTATTATTTGTGGACTGTACTGGTGTTTATTAGATGTTAGTCAGTGTGTGTGTTTTCCCACTAGTATAATGTTTTTTGTCATGTTTATAATGCGTAACTGATATTAAATTTTTAATGAAATTATCAACCTGTGTGTGTGTGTTTCATAGGATAAATTATTTACTCAATGACTTCTGAAAGTGGTCATATGTGAAGGGTCAAACATTCTCCCTACTTGCAATATTTTAGTAAACTTAACTATTTATTGTTGGAATTAGGTGATATATATATATATATATATATATATAATGCTCTGATGTTTTTATGAATGTACTGTCTGATCTCAAAATATGTTGATTGATGACTTAGAAATTCCAAGAAAAATTTTGAAGAACTTTGAGGTAATGATATTATTACATAGTAAAACTTATAAAATAACAGTCAAGTTCAAGTTACATTTTGAGTTAGATACACAAGCTGTGTTTAAGTTATAGAATGGTTTATACCAAGTATATACATTGACATACAAAGGTATAAATATAAAGATACAAGGGCTTACCAGAAAAACTTAGTATATTCATAATATGGATGTAAATTGGTATTTTTTTCAGATATGATTAAATTAATGAAGAAAACAGTTTTTGTGTTCTGGCTGATCAGTCTCTCAAACCATCAGAGTGATGTACTGTTGCTAGTGGTAGGACAAATACAAATAGGTTTTAGGTTGTATCTTTAGAAATATTGAATACAAGTCTACAGAGGTTATAATTTGACACTATGGACCATTGGTTAGGTCACATTTGGAGTACTGTGTTTAAGTCTTTGGCTCTTTATCTTAGAAAGGACATTGAATTGTTGGAAAGGATTTAGAGGATGGCTACTAGGATGATACCTGGGATGGGAGAGTTGTCTTGCAATGATAGGTTAAGATCTCTAAACTTGTTATCTCTTGAAAAAAAAACAGTTACAGAGAATTTGATTGAGGTGTTTAAGATTGTTAAGGTAAGTGATAGTGTTGATGCTTCATCTTTGTATATTTAATGGTGAGACCAGGGGACACAAGTATAAATTTTTAGCAGTGTAGGAGTCATCATCAGCTAAGACAGCTGTATTTTTCTAACAGTGGGGTTAGTCTTTGGAATAGGTTGCATTCAGATATGCATGGTACATTTAATTTAAGGAAGTTTAAGGAAAAGCTTGATAAATATTTGAAGGATAAGTGCTGTAACCTTATGTTATTTGCATTATAGACTAAACTTATAATTATGTGATAATATTGAATGGACATTTATAGGCTGTAATGTATCCTTAAAAGTTAACCTTTAGTGAAATAAATATCTTTTTGTCTAGCTCAGTGTAATTAGAATGATAATTACATTGTAATGTTGACTAGATACATATTTATGGAGTAGCCTGTTATTTTACAATTGTAACATAATTTAGTAGATCTACTAGTTTTAAGTATTTTACTACAGAAGTGATCAGATTCTAATCATTGTTAGCAATCAAGTGGAAATCCTGGTTTATAAAACCATGTTTTTTAATAAATTCTTTTAGTTTCATCAAAGTCTTTAAAACCTAGTTTAGATATACAGATTTTTTTTAAATGAAGGGATTTTCAGTTAAGGAGTCTTCTGTAGGAAAATACATCTTGTTGTTTTTTTGTTCTTTTAACAGAATTATTTCAAAAGTTTAGATAAATGTATAAATAACATGAATTGAAAGTATCATGTAACTTTATTACATGGGTAGGTAGCAAGGCTATTGGTCAATGAGTATTTAAAATGCAAATTGAGTGGTTTTGGCAAGGTAAGTTTTTTTTACATCTATACACTAGTGTGTGTAAGTTAAAGCAAGTATTCTAGGTTTCTTGTTGTCTGTCTGTCTGTCTCAGTATGTTTTGTTTTTCTTTTCAGTATTGTATGATGTGCTAAGCTCAGTATTTTATTTCTAGATGAAGTTGGCCATGTGTGAAATTTAGGACTGAATGCCAGTTTTACAAACTGTGGGCTTATTGACTGATATACAGCAACATTCTCAGTAGTAAATCATGGCCTTGTGGCTGGTACCTGCTTCATACTTAATGCTAATATGGCATGACTCTGTGTTGGCAAATAGCAAAGATTTCCTCCCTGAAGATCAGAACTCAACTGCAAAAGTCTTGTTTAGTCGTGCTCCTCTTTTGAATAAATACAGAGTATCCAGTGACTTTGACCCAAAAGGAATGGAACACCTTTACACAGTTACATCATTTTTCTGCAGTTAATTCAATCTCCTGGCCTACCACCAGGTAAAACTTTTGAAATAATTATATAAAATAGAAAGACTATAAGTATTATATAGCTAAACAGTTTATAGAAATTGAAGTTAAAGAAATAGAAACACCTAAGAATGTTGAAGAATTTCTTGCTTGCAAAGATGTAAACATGTTTCATTTCAGTATAACTGTGTGGACAAGTATTTTTTAGATTAATTTGGGTACTGTGTGTAGATTAGAAATACAAATGTATATTCTTACATGATGTTAGAAAAACAAGTTGGTAATTTAATGCAAAGATACAATACCCTATAACCCAAGTGATTTCAAAAGGTGTACTTTCTTATTCAGGAACAAATTGAAGAAGAAAGTTGTACCTTTCAAAAGTGCTCTGGTTATAGAGTATCATATCTTTATTTATATTCTTAAGTACACAAGCTTTTACCATAGCATTCATTATGATGATTACAAAAAAAAAGACTAAATATTTTAGTTAGTTTTATATTAAAAAATATGTTTATATATATATATATATATATATAATAAAGATTAATTTATAAATTTAAATTTAAACCCTTGCCTACAATAAAGATGTACATGGTACATTTGCTATTTCTATTCCCTTGTGCCATGTGCTTTGATAGAGGTTTTTCACACTGAATCCAATGGTATATAGTTTGTATTATTGTTCCTCAATAAAATATACAATAGATAAATTATATATAAAGTTTTGGTATTTTTGTAAAATGTCCCACTTTTTTTTTCTGCTTCATGGAAATACAAAATGCATGATCTCTAAATGGCTAATATTTGTATTCCTTTGTTTGCTATTGTAATGCAATATTTGGTGCTGCACAGAATCTTGGTTTTTAATTTTCATGTTAGAGCTTGCTGGGGAAATTGTATAATGCTTAGAAATTTGGTTACTATAACACAGTGTTTCTCAAAATTGTTTCTTGGAGGCAGAGCTAGAATTACTAAGGAAAGGAAAATGTGGCATTTATAGAAAAGTGAAAATAAAGCCACAAACACCTGAAGGGCTGAGAGTGATAAATAAAAATGGTTTGTGAGTGTGTTTTCGCTTGACCATAATATTGAGATTATTATTCTAACACATTTTATTGTAACTGTTTATTCTTTAAAACGGCTATAGAAAAGTGGATTTTGTTTGTAGCACATCACTATCTCACTTGTAACATACTAGTGAACACACAACACTTTGGGGAACACTGCTATCAGATATCTTTGAAAGTGTGAAATTTAGTTGCTTAAGATATTGCTTAAAAGCTTGGGTATTTGGTTTTCTACTAGCAATGTAAAACTTAAATTTTAAATTACTAGATCTTCTACTTTTAAAATTTGTAATAATTAAGCATGAGTGATATTACACTTTGGAAAGTGTTAGGATTGCTGGTAGTGTACTATAAAAAAAGTGCAAAAAGGAAATGTTTTATGATGTGTTAAACACAACTTTGTTTATAATGTTTTCAAATTCATTTTTAAATGTACAGGAAAACATGTCTAATAATAATAAATGTATGAATAATATATATATATATATATATATATAAATTTTGTTTGATTAATAGGATAAAAATACTAAAATATTCCAAGTTTGTCAATTTTAAAATAAAAGTTCTAACTGTAAATGTTTGATAACATTATTTCATTTTATATTATTGAGATACAATAAGTAATTTTTTCTAAAATAATTGTTGTTTTTGTGTTTCTGTGTGTGTCTTCTTTTCAAATATTTGATTAGTCTTGTGTATGTGTTGGAAGTGTGACATTTTCATTTTTTTTCATGATATATATATTTTTTTGCCTTGCATTTGAGTCCCAGACCTCTCACACACCAGGTGGTGGGAACACTACCAACAGGGTTAAACAGGAAATTTGAAGAGTTATTTGAATCTGAAAACATGATTCATTTGCATGAGAAATAAACAGGTTGAAAAAATTTTAAAGCCAGTGAAAACAATCTTTATTACAAACACAATAACAACAACAACAAAAAGAAAACAAATGTGCATATCTCCATGACAACTAGATGATTGCCTCTTCTGGATCACTGAATCTTCGGTTTTTCTTTTCTTGAATAAACTCTCTGCTGTAATGATATAATAAAGTACAGTTATCCATTCATTATGATGAAACCCATCAAAAACATAAAATGCTAATTTTGCTTAACTTGTTAATTTTCTAGAGATACTAACTGAAGAACTTGTGGATGATCCTCTTGGTGTACTGGATGAACATAGAGGTGTAGTAAGTACCTAACTTCAAATATTTCTATACTTTTCTCTATATTTATGTTAAAAGTTTGAGTTTTAAGCTGTGTATGTGTGGTTATTCTTCACATTCAACTAATGTCAGTTTATGGTGATGTAGTTAGAGTTCTTATTTATATAATTTCAGCTTAGGATATTTAATATAATAAATTAGTAAAGTGTTTAATTTTAAGAAACAAAAGGGTTAATCAAACTTCATAACAACAATTTATATATGTTAGTGCAGCATTGTGAGCTGCTTGTGTTGGTTGACTTGTTTAGTGGCTATGTATTTGGTCCACAGCAAATTATCAGCTATTTGATAGTGAAGTGCAGCCATAGGTAGATTTATAGTTGGAAAAATACATCACAGCCTTATTCGAGGAAGGATTTGCATATAATAAAACTGTAAAATGACTTAGAGTCAAATATCTTGCCATTTGGAAGAGGGAAGCACTTAATTTTTCCCACAGAAACAATTAGGCAGCAAAACATAACCAAAACCCAAGTCAATCCAGTGCAGTATCTTCATCCATAAAGTAAAGAGTATGGTTATGAAAGAAAACTCTCTTTCCCAAATGGCCATTGTGATGATGTTGAACATGTCTTTTGGTACTGTTATTAAAGTAATAAATAAAGATTTAAGTTATTGAAGGTTCACAAGCTTCTAATTGAAACTTGAAATCAATGCTTGTTGTTGTTAGAAAGATGGCTGAATAAACTGGTATCATAGCAATCCCACTCAATGCATACATGTCTAGTTCTCTAATTCAGCTCTAGTGTGTAATGGAAGATTCACAGAAAACTTTGTACGATGTGTTGTCCAAGGTTGTCCTTGCTTTCTTTATTCAAAAGCTTGTTACATTGGAAATTTTGGTTTTGGAAAGTGGTGTTTAATTATGGACATCATATTGACCATTATCAAAAGGCAACTTGAACATGGATTGCCATTCTTATAAAGTGCAGTTAATCCTGAGCATAGGTATTATATAATAGATCATATAAATAAATATTAGGGTATTTTAGAAAACTTCATTGTGATAATTAAAAAACTTATTGAATGCTAAGATTGTATTTTGGTTATGTTACATGTGGTCTTTATTAAAACATAATTCCCTTTTGACACATACAAAAATACAAAGACTTTGAGATATAGTTACAAACATATGTGCTGTGAGATTAATTTCTCTTTGATAGCTCTAGAATTAAAGAATTTTGTAAATAGATAATACCTATACCTTATGAGTGGTATGTTCATAGAGTGAAGTTCACATATGTTTATGTGATTGTGTGTGGTGAGTTGTAGTTTAACAGTAACATGATACTTTGTATGTGAGATGCAGTCTCTCAATAGTGTGATTAATTGTAATATAAAGATGAATCTGTTGACTTTTATATATAACAATTATGTGTTTGTCTCGAAGGAAAATAGGCTACTTAGTTTATTGTATTAGAAATGTATTTTGTTCTGCATATTATAGAGTTGATGTAATTCAAATTAGAGATATATACTTAGACTTTTGAACAAAATTTAGTAAAACATATCATTTTAAAACTACAAATAACTGATATTTATATATTTCAGGTTTTATCTCATTTCTTGGGAATGTTATTGGTGGGACTAATTGGCCTGCTTTTGGCTATCGTTATCCCTGTTGGTGGTTTCTTCTTTTGTTGTTGTCGGTGTGCTGGACGTTGTGGGGGAAGCAGAGTGGAAGTAATGGAGAAGAAGAGAGATTCCTGTCGTAGAATATCTTGTGGGATTGTTATGTTTAGTATTGTTGTTGTAATGATGTAAGTAATTATTCTTTCTAATCTAATACTTTTCATCCTATATCTTTTCTTGGATTTTTTCATATTAAGCTGCTTAAGATCTAATTTAAATTAACTAATTTACTTGTTAGAAATACAATGGTTAACTTTATCAGTGTGTGTGTTTATATATATAATATCTGTAATATGTGTGGCTGTACTTATTCAAATAATAAGAATCTTTGATATGTTGTTATGCTCTCTCTCTAACCAGTAGTAACATTAGTGTGTGGCTATATTTTCTAATCAATCAACAGTATTTTGGGATTAGTATTGTTCTGCAAATTCAAATTACACAAAACATACTCTTTAAACATATGAACTTGTTTTTAAGATACAAATTACAACCAGAATTTGTTTATAAAGTATATAAATAACATAAAATTTGCTAAGAAAAACTAATGTGAACTAATGTGCATGATTCATAGTGCAGAGTACTTTATATCAAAGACATAAATATTTGATTGAATTAATTATCAACAGATTTTTAGAAGCATATAATATTTCTCATTATTTTCTAAAGGTGTTTGTTCTGTACAAAAGTTTTAATGCAAAATTAATATTTTGTATGTCTCTTCAGTACCTTTGTTGAGTATTTTCTAATTAAACTTCTGAAGATGATCTTTTGATGGGAATGTAACATATTAAGGTGTTTGTGTGTGTATATAATGTTTTGCACACATTCAACTAGATGCTAAGTATTGTTACTTACTTTGTTTCAGGTTTGGTTTAGTGTGTGCCTTTGTTACCAATGAATACATTGAACAAGGAGTTCAAGCCTTACCAGATAATTTGAAATGGAGTATAGATGATGTCCAGTTATATTTTAATAATACAAAATCTGTAAGTTTTACTTGCTGAATCTTGATTTTCAGCTAATTATGAAAATTATTGTAAATAGGAAAGAAACATTTTAGTGCTTAGACATTTTATATCTTACTGTAATTGTTTTTCTACTTGTGACTTCACAATTCACTAAGTTCTGTAACTTACTGATTATCATGAGCTGTATATCGTTTAAAATGATATTGATTTTAATCATAAGGGTTTAAATGTTATACAGCTATATAAACTTAAATCTAAATATTTTGCAAGAGAAAACATTACTTTGCTATTATAGGAGTCGGTTTGATTTGAATTACTCGCATGTATAACATCAGTGCGTGTGTGTATATATATATATATATATATATATATTATATACACACACACAGAGCAAACATTTGTTATTGCAATAAGTGTACATGAAAGTATTGCATAACTTTTGATTATTTTACAACTATAACCTTTTAAGTAATGACATGTTGTGATTACCTACTTTTCATGAATGTTTATAAGTATATTCTCATTTTAAATATTTTGTATGTGTTTTTTAAAACAATTCCTAATAAAACTTGTATTTTGTAGATGTTTTATATATTGAAATAGTATTGATTCATAGTAATATGGTTTGCATTCTTTAATGTAATGCTGGATTTAAATGTGTATTTTCAGGAAGTCAATAATCTGCTAAAAAACAACTTTAAACAGTTACAAGAAAAATTAGAAGAAAGTTTAGATAGTAAGTATAACATTTTCTTTTTGTTTATAAGATGTGATCTTACTTAAAGAAAAATAATAATTACTAGTTGGGAGAAATAACTTTTACACAAAAAATCTATAAGCAATAAAACTCAAGAACTTTAAAACTGATACTGAGCTAGAGTAGAAAATGCTCAGCATAAAGAATGGTTTCCTGCATTTAGACAAGTTGGGTTTATCAGAAAATTTGGACTTAAGCTGAAATTATGTTGGTGTTTTTTATCTTTATTTAATTTTTTTTTTGCTCAGATTTTTTTGATAGCCTAGATTTTTTTTTCTCATTGGCATGCCTGTTCTTTGCATTTCTTTTCTTGTATTAGTTTTATCCACATACTGGTGAATGTTTTTCTTTGACCATTTCAAATCTAGAGGTGCACGTGGTAATGTTTACTTTTTCTCACTTGATTGGATGAAACTAATTTTTAAAGCAACAAATTAAAGATAATAATAATAAACCAATACAGCTATAGAACTGGAATGGATTAAGAATTGTTCATGCTTTATTTCTTTTTTGTTTCTAAAAATGATTTACTGTGAAGCCTAACAATGCTGCCCACTATACAAAGAGAAGAGGAATATTTTGAAACAAATTAAAAATTCTCTGTCTTTGTGACCTAGGAATATAATGAAATCAAAATAATAAAAAAACAACAACAACAAAATTTATCATTAGGTGCATGTGTGTTTCTAATTCTACAAAGGATTTTATAATATCATTGCCAGATTTGTGCATAAGATCACTGAAAAAAATAAGAAAAGAATCGCATGAACTGCTTTTAAATTTTTTAGGACTTGAAATATTTCAACAGTATTTTAATTATTTTTCCTTATTAATTTTTAGTGTAGAAACATACAAAAATGTTATAGCCTGTGTAATTGTAGGATTGGATATAATTACTATAGTTAATAGATTAAAGACATACATATGTACATTCATATGTATACACACACACACATACACAAAGATATATATATGTCTGAACCAATTTAAATTTTTTTTTTAATTTTTGAAGTGTAATTTCTTTTTTTGATTTTGTTTCTTGATTTTCTTAAACAGGAAGTGGAGATATTGTGAAGATCAGACTTGGTGAAGTGTCACAGGCAGTAGCAGTTGACAATTTAACAGAGATTGTGTCTCGTAAGATATAGTTAACATTAATAAGTGCATTGTTCTTTAGGTGTACATTTTTGTCAATTTTTACCTAGAGTTAGTTTGAGAAACTATTTATAATACATAATAAAACATCGTTATAGATGTTCTGTAGAACAATAACAAGTTCAAACAAGGCTTTTTTTTGTGTTTTGAAATATTGATGATGTGGTACAAACTTGGAATTTTCTGGCTTAAGGATTTGTTTCTTAGTTATTTTCAACACCCATTTGTTAAATACTATAATATTAGGATTATCAGTGTGTTTGCTACCTACTTTGATTTTGCATACTTGATCAATAAGAATGATTCCAAAGTAAGATTTCATTTCTGAAAATATTCTTTTTTCTATTTGATTTTATCTTAAAAAAGCAAGAAAGTACAGACTGTTAAGTGAAATTTGATCTTTAATCCAATATTTTTTGTGAGAAAATACCTCTGCTATCTTTGGATATGTAAATGTGCCCACTTATATGTTCTCACATCCTCTCACTGACAGTTTACTTTGCAGCAAATTTTATCTTTAAAGTTTCCCCCTTTGTAATTACTAATGTAAAATAACCATACTCTGTTGTGGGGTTCAAAGGTCCCCTGATTGCCACAGAGGCACCATTATATTGATGAAGCTTTTTCATTATCCACAATTACTTCTGTGTACCTGAAAACAAGATCTGTTAGGACACTTGCCCATGTTACCTGAGCATATATTTCATGCTTGGTACTGCTAACTTGTGAATGTGCATATCAACACAGTTTAAAACATATCATCCCAAAGACCCTAAGACGGGCCAGGAACACGTAAACGGATGCCAAATTTGGGTTCAGTGACCCTGAAAACCTGCTCCTAGGCTCCATCATATCCGGGTAACCCCCAGACACTCCAAGTCTTCCTTCCAAGTTTGGTCCTGCTAGTTCCAAAACTCTGGGAGGAGGAGTTCATGCACAAACAAATTGAAAAAAACATGCAGTATGAAGCAGTGTAGGATTATGTGTTTTGATGGTTTTAAATTTTCTACAACCACTTACTCGGGAGTAGAATACGAGTATAAATTGTTAAGTGCTTTTAAAAAGCTTTTCAACACAAATTCTTTTTCATTTTTATGTAAGTGAACAAGAAACTGTTAGAACATCTCATAATGTCTGAACTGCCCATTGTTATGATATTCTAACTAAATAAAATTTTCCATTCTTAGTGTTAAATCCTTTCAATTTCATATGGAAACATTTAGTGAAAATGAGTCTACTATATATATAAAACATTATCCTCAAAAGTATTTAAGCTGCTTTACTATTATGGTGTTTTTTTGTATTATCATGTAGTTCAATTAAATTAACATAGGTTGTAGTTTGCCATGGATCTACTTAAGAGTCATTTATTATTTAAAAACAAAGATTAATATAATGAAGTTTAAGTGATAAGAGTATATTTAATAAATATTGAAAGTTCAGAAAATATAATTGAGAATGGCGTGGATGAAAAAATAAGTCAAACCCAAAAATTAACTACTATTGCCAAGCATTTTGTTATTAGTTAGTTATGTCACTGATTAAAATCCAGTAGTTTATATTAAGTGTATCAGGTGTCAAATGCTGTTTTTATTTCAAAACAATTACATATTTGGTCCTTACAAACCTAATTAACACAAAAATTGTTCTTTAAGGTTCATAATATAGGTAAATTATATGTAGAATTATACACACACTTTTCTCTACATTAAAATACCCTTCTTTTATTTGCTAGCTTTCGGCTCTCTTACAGGAGCCTTCATCTGGCAAAAATGTACTGAGCAATCCAAATTCCTTTATTGTGGAACACTGCTTTAAAATAGGTATCTAGGCAACAAATGTAACAATAACTGACATATGGTATTAAAGTTATTAACCATGTAGAAATTGTAATGAATATAGAAGATAAATTGATTACTTCAATATAATAAACATAAGGAATGTGAAATTTTAGGTATTATATAGAAGAAAAAAAAAATCATGCTTCAAGGAATACATCAAAACCACGACAAATAATATATTTTATGTCCATGCAATAGTGAGTAGTTGTTGACTGTTGTTTTGATTCATAACCACTGGTGTTCCACTATCTTGTGTTTGGATGGCAATAGTTTCTTTGATTTTTCTCTGTTTGATGTTTTCTTCTCTATTATTTTTGCAAGATGTATAAATTCTTCATCTAGGTAAAATGAGGAGCATATGCTTTTGGTGTTTTAATAATCCAAGTTTTGACAGTTATTGTATGATGTGAACTAAAATTAAGTTATTTACTTGTTTTGAGTCTCATTCTGATAAATGGCAGTGGTAAACTTTGCCAAAGTATCAGAAGGAGACATAGATAATTTTAGGGCTTCACGAACTTGGAAGAACAGTTCATTAGCAGTTGTGAGATCGAATGTATTAGCGATGTCTTTTAATGGAAGCAGTGATGTTAGTATAGGGTACTTATTTCAGGATATTTGTTGCCTAGATACCTATTTTAAAACAGTGTTCCACAATAAATGCATTTGTATTGCCTAGTGTATTGTTGTCCGATGAATTATCTGGTAAAAAAGGCTAAAAGCTTCCAAATAAAAGAAAAGTAATTTAATGTAGAGAAAAGTCTGTATATAATTCTACATAACATAAAGATGTTGTTCCTAATTGTTAGTTTTGCCACATCATGACATCACTAGACTTCTACTTTGCAGAAGAAGTCAGAATATATAGTGACAAGTTTACTAGTTGATAAAAATGACAATTAGTATAAATGTAGATACATATTTAAATAACTATGTTTCATGGTTTGCTATTTGATTTTAAGTTTCTGATACTTTGAACACTGCTAGGGCTCGGGCAGTTACGAAATGATATCAATGAAGCAATGGAAAACACAAAGAAACTACAACAAGATGGGAACCAACTTCAGCTTGGCTTGGCAGGAGTAAGAAAAGACCTGATGGGTTTGTTGAATGAATGTAACTCTGAGCTTGAGGCTTGCCAGGAAATTCTCAAACTATATGATCTCTCCCATCTTGTTGTTGAGCCAAATTTTTCAGAAGTAAGTGATTGTTATTGTTGATTATAAAATAATGTGGTCACAATTGTAATGATTTGTTAATCTGAAAGAATCATGCCTATACTGATGGGAAGACCATTTTAAGCTTTAGTACAGAAACAGTTATCATGAATAGCTATTATTTTGATTTTTATAAATCAGATTAGATGTTTCTCTGATTTTTATTTATCTACAGTTTCTTTAATACTGAACCAGGTTTTGTAAAATTGTAAATGATGTAACAAAGTGTACTTATTTATTTATTTAATGTTTAATATTTTGTAAATTGCCAATTAATTTGGCAGAGTATTAAGGTTAGGATTTGTTTTAAAGCTCAAATACAGAATATAGAAATTTCCAGAATCAAAGTTATTATTATTAAAAAAACTTTTTTGTACTTTTAAGTTTCAAGAAATTATTGCTAATACTCTTTAACATTTTTATGTGAAAAACTTGTTAAAGAAATTACCTATTTGGTCTGTAAATTATGATTTTATAGCAGTCTTTTTAAAATTTTTCCATAAATTGTTTGAATGTTTTAATATTTAATTATATTTTTTCGTAGTTTCTAGTTTAGTACACCTGGAGTCTGAGAAGTGTTATTATGCAGTTTTCATAAATACAGGTTTTCTTGCATGTTTTGATTGTTTTGTCATGGCCTAGTAGTTAAAGAGTTCTACTTGCAACTGCAGGTTGTGGGATCAAAACCCAGTGCCAAACATACTCACCCTTTCAGCTGTGGGAGCATTATAATGTGATAGTAAATCCCACTATTCATTGGTAAAAGGTTAGTCTAAGAGATGGTGGTGGGTGCTGCCAGCTGGTTGCCTTCCATTTGATCAGTTCAAAGTTAGAGGCAGATATCCTTTGCAGCTTTGCTATAAACAAACAAACCAAACCGTATTGTGATAATAAAAATATGTGGACAGAGGAAGTTGTTGTTGGTATTCTATAATCTTTAGAGTGAAAGCAAAGCTGAATGTTTAACAATATGCCAGTCACACTGTATCTGCTATTCTCAGTACCAGTGAGGCCATTCACCAAATACTAGGGCTCATCAGGCAGGCTAGGGTACAACAGATACAGTAGTAATTAAGATGCCATTTATGTTATAAAATTGCATGAAAAACAGCTGTTATGATGTGAACTAGATTAAGTTAGGAAGTATTTGGTTTTGGAAAATTGATATTTTGCTTGGATTACATGGGAATGTAGTTTAAATATTAGTTTTTAAAAACTAGATATGAATCTTTAATATATTGGTAAATAACAGGGTTTAGAAAAGTGGGTTAGATTCATAAAGAGGACAAAGTATTTGGTATAATTGCCCCTAATAATTGAAATGAATTTATTAACTAGTCAGAAATTTACAATAAGTGTCAAAAATTAAAAGTTTTTAACCCGTCCTAATGTTGTTGAGAGCACAATGTACATTCTGATTAATAATTTTGTTTTTAGCTTCCAAACCTGACAGACATTATGCAAAAGTTATCAGATCTACTTAATGAAGATATTGAAAGTGAAGTGAGAAAGGTAATTGTTTTGTGGTTAAATTATTGCACACAAAATAATTTTAATCAGAAAATTGATTAAAAGTTTATTTTAAAAGTAAACTGTAAAGCCGAAAATGAGAGTATGTTATGGGTGAAAGAGATTGTTCTAATTCTACAAAAGAAGCTAAAATTAAATAATCAACAAAATCCTACTGAGCTTTTACTTTAATTTAGTAATTGAATTTTATGATGTCTTATCTGAAATACTCAGCATCTCAGATCTTTATCTTTTAAAATTTGACTTTTACAGGGTAAAGACACATTTGACAGGTTAAGTTATACTATCCAAGATGCTGTTAGTAATGCTATTCCAGGTAAGAAGCCAGCTGTTGAGTAATCTGTTATATTCAAATCATCTTTAGAATAGTTTTAAAATAATAAAATACTTGTTGCTACTGTTTACAAGAAAATCAAGCTCATTCATGCATTGTATAATTAAAAGAAACATATCAATTTTGAAATTTATGGTGATTTTAAAAAAGCTACATTATCTGTAAAGTGTGAACTCATTATATAATATTTCACCAACCTTTTATTCAAAAACGTTTTGATTTTGTAATAAATAATAAAGATTGGCTGTTTTTTTAATATTTGTATGTAGCTTTACTGTTAATATAAATAATATGTATGTGATATTTCATCTTTACAGGGAACTGATATTTTTATGTTTTCATGTTGAAATGTTTCAGTTGCTTAAATGGCAATATTAACTCAAATTATTTTATAATTTTTATGAAAGGTGCTTTTTTTATATTAGAGTGAGATATTTAATTAGTTTCTTAAACATGAATACAAAACTTACTGTTGTATGTTGTGAATTGTATAGAAATCAAACAGAAAATAAGGAACTTTGGCATAGAACTTGGTGCTGCTGCTGATAATACTAGTCAGATGTTGCATGTTCCTGAACTGAGACAAGCTAAGGAGGTTGTGTCTGGTTTTCAGCCATACATTGAAAAATATTCTGTGTACAGGTACATTTGATGATTTCAGTATCTAGCTTTCCACATTGTATTGAAAATTACTGTAAGTAGAGATGAGATGTATATTGACATTTCAATCACTTCAGTATTTATCTTTGCACACTGTATTGAAAATTACTCCATCTAGGGAGTGTGCAGGCATGCTTGTTCACTGAATTACTAGCTTTCCACATTGTATTGAAAATTACTGTAAGTAGAGATGAGATGTATATTGACATTTCAATCACTTCAGTATTTATCTTTCCACACTGTATTGAAAATTACTCCATCTAGGGGGTGTGCAGGCATGCTTGTTCACTGAATTACTAGCTTTCACACCACACTGGAAATATACTCTATGTTTCTGTTAGGTAATGTTTGAGCTTTTCAACATCAAAATTATACACTTCTTGTAAGTTCCTTTCCTATTGACCTTCATACTTGTTAAACTAGTTTTTGGAAAAACATTTCTTCAGTGATTTTGCTATAATATAATACAATTCGAATTAATCAAATTTGTATGATTGATAATAGTATTTCAACATCAGCTTTTATAGTTTACCTCCACTCTTATAGACTCTTGACCTTCCCAGTTGAGCAGCTTAACAGCTTAGATTTGTGTTAATAATAATTTTTTGTGAAGTAGAAAATTCGGAAGAAATATATTAAGGATCTCGTAGCATATTTTGACATGACTTTATATGTGTGACCTAAAGATGTTAAGGATTTTTTGTAAACTTGACTATCTAATTGCCTTTTCTGACTTTAAGATATGACTAACATTTCATCAAAGCCTACCACAATAAAGTACAAAAAAAGAAATTAAAATTTTGTGTTTCTAATGATTATTCCAGAATAATGGGCATGAGTAAAATCAAGTAGTGGCATGAAATTATCCATACAGAAGATATTATACTTCCCTGACTGTTAATGTGTGTAGTTTTTACTATGTTAGGGTAGTGTAAAGCAATAGTTAATTAGACACATCTCCACGTACAGAATTTTGAATTACAACACCAACATTTCAACATACCAGAGATAAAATGTACAGGACTTTTTGCTTCGTGTATATTGGATACATAATTCAAAACTTAAGTGCTGAAACTTGCTCACTGTGAATAAAACACTCACTCAGCTTAATCTGTTTACTGGAGACTTTAAAAAATAACCTCATATAATATTATTATTATAATATTAAGCAATTGAAATTTATATATATTTTTTGTTGTATTGTACGTAAAGAGTAACAATGTAATTTAAATTGCAAACTTAAAAGTGTAAAAATTGGGCATGTAAAGACATAATTTAATACAACTACAAATGAAATAGCTCATTAGTTATTACAAATCTTTTAAAATTGTTTAATATAATTTTGATGGTGTACTTCTTGTCCTAAGACGATATGGCAGTATGGCTCTTTGCTGTGGAATGTTGGCCATTGTTTTATGCTTCACTTTTGGACTTGTTTGTGGATCATGTGGTTCAAGACCAGGAAATATCTATGGTGACAGCAGTTGCAACAAAGGAGTAGGAGCCAGACTTCTGATAATGTAAGTACTGTGAACATATATACATTTATGGACACCAAATTTCATGGTTTAAGGAAAAACTTTATACTAAGTCAGTTCATAAATTTGTGACTCATGCTTCCCCAAATTAATTACTTTGATGTGAATTAACATTATGTCAATAAATATCTATATATCTTGTCAGCTTTTGCTCAGGTTGGTGTTTCATTTTTATTGACATTGAATAATTTAAAAAATTAATTTTTGCATGTATATGTAATATTAATTTAAATAGAGTGGAATTTGAATTGACATTTACAAAAGTTTATTTTATATAATTGACTTAAATGTTGGAAAGAAGGTTTAATCATTCTGCAAATTAAAGCTTCATGGTTTTCTCACTATTTTCATTCTTGTAAAGTTCCTGCAAACTGTTATAATTCAGTTTTTGTCTTTGACAGTACATCATTTAACTGAGAAAATATTGTTGATGAAGATACAATAGTTTAAAAAGATGTTACTACTGAGGTGTTTTTCTAATATGTTTTTTACCAATTTTCTTTGAAGTACTTTGATGGTTATTAAGTTATACTATATTCACAGATTTTTCTTTTTATATACACTGATATAAAATATGTATAATATTTCTACATAGTTTGATAAGACTGACTATTTAAATTGTAAACATCTTATATGTTCTAATAGGGGAGTCATTGTGGTATTTTTGCTGTCCTTTTTTCTACTGTTAACCACCACAGCACTGTTTTTAGTGGGAGGAACAACCCAACGTACAATATGTGATGTTATCAAAAATACTTCTGACCCACAAGTGAAAGAGGTGAGTGTCACTCTAGCTGTGAGGCCTTAAAACATAAAAAAATTAATTTGTTATATTTTCTGGTGTCAAAACAGCACAAGATGTCATAACTTTATGAAATGAAAATTTTTTTATTTAACTTGCATTGTTTTTTCTTTCAAGTAACAGGATACCTAGATTTATCTTTTATGTACTATATTATTATAAGTTGAGTTTATGCATAGGTGCACCAAGGAACATGTTAGTATATCTCCAACATGAAAATGTGAATGACATGGTAATACACTAATGGACATTTAAATTAAAAGTACATTGAAATAGAACAACTAAAAGGTACACTTAGTTCTCTAAAACAGTTTTACAGTTTTTCTTTACATTTACCTTGGAGTCTAGAGGAAAGAAAATGCAATTTCCAGGGGTCAGTAATTTAAATATGAATTCGAAAGAAAATAGCTGACTATAAACCAACAGTTGTTTGTGGTAAATCCACAATGAACATTACATGAATGGGTTAGAGATCAAAGAGTGCCCTTTTACAAAACACTATTCAATATGGTAATATGAATTTGGTGTTGGAGTTATCAGGTACAATACAATACTGAAAACTAGATATGCAGGTAGGGTGTTGTAGAGGTTTCAAAAATGCAATTAGTAAGCTGTACAATGGACAAAAGCTTGTTGAAATATTGAACATTTATTACTTATAATAATTTTTTTTTCATTATCCATTATAGCTGTCTCCAAACTTTATTTTCTAAAAGTGGGTTCGTCATCATCAAAGAAGTATTTTTATTTTTCATATGAATATCACTTTGCACTCTGACTTGTCAGAGCCCGAGTCAGATTGACTTAGTTATTTCACAGAAGTATCTTCAGTGTAAAACTTTATTAACTCTCTCTACATGTGCTAGGTCGAAATGACCGATCACATGACCACTTTATACTTTTGATATTACTAACCTTCAATATAGTATGAGTATCTTCACATAATTTGGCAGACTCTCAGTAAACATCTTTAACATACAAAAAATCAGATTTTTTTAGTGAGGTATTTTTAATAAACTGAAAAAAAGATATGTCCATGAATAATTCGAGTCTTTTTTTTATAGTCCAAGTGCAAAGTTATTTTCATGTTAAGATTAAAAATACTTTTCTTCATCTCAAAAATCTCAAATTTTATTTGCGTAATATCTAAAACCTCCTAAATCAATTTCAAATGTTTGTTTTTAGTAAATCTTTATATTTTATCTGTTATTTTCTCTATCTTAATTCCATACAAGGTTGGTCAATTTGACTGACCTTGTAACCACCAAAAAGATTAAAATCAATCTAAATTACCCCTTTTTTCTTTCTATAGTGACTTCAAGTTGTAGCATGGAACTATATTTGTTTATCCTAAGTAGATATAAACTCCTAAAATATACATCTATTTATACTTAAATAGATACTTATACTTTGAATCCATATCTAACTACTGGGACTCACATTATGCTATCGAATTTGATTACTCACGAGCTAATCTAACCTTAACCTCAACTGACTCAGAAGCTCAAATAGAGACAGAAAGAATGTGTAAATGGACGGTTCGAGCAAAAAGTGTCATGTGATACAAAGAAGTGAAGAATGAGAATTTATTTAAATATTTCCTTTTGAAATTAAGAAATAAAACTTATGTAATATTAAAATTGGATTTATTAACTATGATTTGATGGCAAGTTTATTGACATACATTGATTATAAAGCTGTGTAAATCTTGAATGAAACACTGTAAAAGTCATTTTAACTCTATTGCCATGATTATCCTTTACTGTGCATGACACAAAGATTTAGTGTCTTACATTCAAAATTGTATTAAACTACTTTCAGTTTATGTTATATCGATTAGTATAGCATAAAATTTTGGCTAATAATCCACATTTTGATAGTATACAAGTTTTAAGTTCTTAATTCTATAAGGCAATATTTAAAAAAAACCTGAATTTCCCCTAGTGTGACACACATGACACATTTTCTCTAGGTATATTCTATTCTCTATTTTATCCACCACCCCTTCAAAAAGTATTAAATCAAATGTAAATTACTCCCTATAAAATCATCATTGTTCACACAAACCATAATTTTTAAAGCTTTCAATTTTGTTTGGTTACAGAGCTATCAAATAGAAAATCGGCCCCCTCCTGCCACACCCACCTGTCACATCCTCTATTTCAGGATTTGTTAATAGTTCTTTCTTATATTTAATTATATATAATCTATAACCAATAGAAAGTCAAGGTCCTCATCTGTCAAATGACATATTGTATAACGTTGTGTCCTGAACAGAATGTTGTCAAGTTCATTCAGAGTACAAGATTTGTTCCTGTGGGAATGTTAGCAACTAGCTTGGATGAATTTGTAATGGTTCTTGTCGCATAGTTAGAAAGCCAGAAAAATTTTGAGAGCTAGTAAAAATTGTCTACTTTTTGCACATTATTAGTCTATGATCTTTGGTGCATTATTTAATTAAATAAAAATTATTTCGTGCATTACTACTATTAGTATAAAAAAAGTAGAGTTAACTCTCTTTGTAACTGTACAGCAAGAAAAAAGAAGATTGGTTAAGTATTTTATTTCTTGTTTTTCATGTTTATACTTTATTTATTATTATTAAAAGTAATTAAAATGTAAAAATATGGATATTTATAGGTTAGTTAAGATTAAATAATAATAGTAATATAGTAAAATGTTTCAAGAGGCATGCACATGAGTATCTCATGGGTAATATAATTCAATAGTGTAATGTGAGCTGGACGTTCCCAGAGTGATTTACAACTTATAATGGCATGAATAGTAGTTAGACAGGCAATAAAACAATAAAATATAATTATAAATAGATGTATACTCTTATGGACTTAAAGCTACATAGGATAGATGAATGTGATTTCATGTTACAATTTCATTCCCAAAAGAAAAAAAGGGTAATTTAGATTTATTTAATTTTTTTTTTTTTGGTGGTTGTGAGGTTGGTTAAATTGACCGATTCCATATAGAAATATGGTAGAGAAAATAACAGATAAAATATAGTCTTACTGAAAAAAACAGTATGAAATGTATTTAGGAGTTTTTTGGAATTACACAAATGAAATTTGAGGTTTTTTAGATAAAGAAAATTATTTTTAATTTTAACATGAAAAATAGTTTGCACATGGACTATTCAAAACAAATAATCAACATATTCATAAACAAATCTTTATTTTAGTTTATTAAAAATACTTCACTAAAATATGATTTTTTTTTTGTATGCGAAAGACTGCCAAATTTTGTGAGATATACACACTATATTGAAAGTTAGAAGTATTAAATCTATAAAGACTTTAGATAAGTACAAAGAGGTCATGTGGTCGGTCAGATTGGGCGAGTCTGTGTTGAGAAAGTTAATCACCCCACCAACTTGTACATATGATTATGATAAGGCTGTGATAATTGGATATCAATTTTACTTGGAGACTTCTATGGAGTACATCTGTCTTAATAATTTTATGGATAATGTTTCAAGGTGCTAGCATGATTCTTCATTAGTTCAGATTGGTTAAGTTGGGTATGCCCATATTTGATCATTATTCCATGTAAACAGCTTAACAGATTAGTCTTGATGAAGAACTGCACCAGCAGCTTGAAACATTGTTCAGAAAAACTTCTAAGGTAGGTGTAATCCAGATTTTTTTTTAAACATATATCAATCATTGTAATGGTTAGTAGACTATATGGTCACCTAAGGCTAATAATTAATTAATTAGTTACTAGTTAGTGAGTAGGGATTAGTTTCTAACTAGTATCTAATAATAATAAAAAAATAATAATTATATTTCATGATTGTATAGTTTACTAACCCTGATAACAATGAATCACTGAATTACGTTATGTTGTCATAGTCAAACATACTGTTGGTGTGAAAGTGCTTTGTAGTCACTATGAGAAAAGCCTATACAAAGCTTGTTTACACCAACAATATGTTTGATACTTTTCACTATGATATAGGTCCAATTTATCTCTCCTTGGTTAACTTGTGTTCAGGGTTACTGATGAGGAGTGGAATTTTCTGAAACTAGTATTAGGTCGTCAAGATATTAATGTCATGTTTTGGAACAAAAAACATACATCACATATAATAATTAAATGAACTGCCTATGTTATGTTAGTGTAGCTTATATAATGTGTAAAGTATAAGAAACTTAGAATTAGAAACAGGTTCATCAGATGGTTTATCTTTGTTCTACCAATTAGTAAAGAGAAAAACGAAGAGAAAATCCAGTTGGATTTTAAGTGATTCCAAACAGAAATGGAATGAAGCTAGTTATTGAAGATCTATTTATTGCACATATTTGAAAAAAAAAAGTTTAAAAATTTCATAGAAACTATTTTTCTAAAGATTATTTATTTTATTGTATATATTTTGATTATATTTATTAGGCCATTTTGTTGGTTCAGAAACATCGTTTAATCAAGATGATTGGAGAAGACTTTCAAATAACTGAAATCCTCAGGTAATATGATAATCTTAAACATGCAAATTTGGTTAACTGTGTTATAAATATTGCATATTGAGGACTTTGACATCTTTGTAAAATAAGATAAATAAGTTTGAATTGCTGTAATTTCTCTAAATTTTTGCAAAATATATAATAATTGATGAATTAGCTTTTTTTTCTCATAATTAATAAATAGTCCTAATTTCAAATTGCAGTATTACTACCTTTTAGGTTTTAGCCTGTAAAGAGTGTTAGTCATTAGGACTAAAATGATGTAATATGGTGTCCTTATCTTTAGTTTCTTAGAACTGGTCAGTATAATTTAATGAGAAATTGAGTAAAGATCATTACTTTTTAACATATATCAATTTTTGATGCATTTGTCATGTGGTTTTAGTTGATTTCAGCTAAAAGTTTAGTTGTTTTATTCATCTTGTGTTATGGCTAAAGTGCATCAATGACAAAGTATAATTCTAACTTTTGTATTTTTCTTCTTTCTTCAGTTTATTTGTTTTTATCTTTCAGGCAGTGTCACAACAATAAGAGCCTCTATCAAACATTAGAACTTGAAAAACGATCACAACTTCACATTGGCCCAAATGTAGTAGTTAGTGTGTTCAACCTATCAAAGCTCACTAATTATCAAGAGGTTTGTATATTTGTTTAGATTTTTAAAACTACATTAAAATGATCTTGAAAAAAAAAATTACAAATATTCATAATACTCTAACATTGAAGTATTTGATGCACTGATATTACCTTGGAACACTGATGTTATAGCTTAAAAATTGCGTATGTCGATTATTTCTAGCGTTACAAGGTGGATGAAAAGTTATCAGAGTTCCTAAACCAGCTGAATGTCAACCCAAATGTTACACTACTTACAATGGAAGGAAAGGAGCTTCTAAAGCAATTAAGAGACACACCTGTTTCAAGCATAAATTTCACTGTCTACTTTGTAATGGTAAGAAGCAATATTTTTTCTTAAAGTAAACAATATAGTTTATAATGGCTTTATAATGTTTGAAGCATATATAACCTTTATTATCATTTTTGTAGTGAGTGAGGAACAATCCTTGTCTTTAAAATTTATTATTATCTATTTTGTAATGATTTAGGAACATTATTTTGTCTTGTGTGTAATTTTCACTGTCTACTCTGTGATGAGAAGGAGCAGCTTTCTGTCTACTTTCTACATTGAAAGGCATTATTCTAAGCCTAATCATGGATTATGTAGTTGCAAAAGCAATAGAATCAGTTTAGTGGAAAAAAAAATAACAATAACATAATGGATTTTACATTTTTAAGACAATTTATACATCTAGCTTTATTAATATTAGAATAATTTTCCTTTATGAAGAATTTAATAACAAGGTAGCAAGTTTAAAGGTATAGCTTGGTGTAGTGAGCCATGTTTTAATAACACACGTGTATCACAAATCCTTAAATTAACAAAGTGTAAAGTAAAAGGTTGAACTTGTAAGTAAGGTGTGCAGTTGAGATACTATTACATAGTTTTTGCTGGAAAACCTATAGTTTAGGACCAATAAAGAAAGACTTGTAAAAGAATTATTTGTATTATTGTGATGTAATTTCACACTACCTAATGATCAATAGATCTTGCTTTACTAGCATACTGTGTTTTTATAAAATAATAATCAAGTATTGTAATTGACTGACATAAATAGTGTTTTGACTGAGTATGTGTGCATGTTACATTCCCATTCAACCTGATGAGCTCTGGTATTGAGCAAAGACCTCGTTGGCAGTGACATGTGGCACACAATATCTGAATTAAGATGCTGTTGTGTGTTACTGGAAAACCTGTGAACATTGAAGAAAGATTTATAAAAGGGTGTTAAGAACAAATAACTCAAAAGTAATGTAAAGTTAAAAAGGCTTGAAAATGTTTTTAAAACAAATTTTAGAAAAATTTAAATATAATAATTAATGCCAACATGTATATATATATGTGTGTGTGTGTGTGTGTGTGTGTGTGTATGCATACATTTATATATAACCTAGAACCTTCTAATACTATATTTAACGGCTGTTGGCTGGCATCATTTTTGCAGTGTGAAAAACTGATCTTCAGTCAAACTAAAGAAGCAAATGAGATAAAATCTAATGGCAATACAAAATGCAGTTTTTTTATCAGTTTCTTCTTTTAAGTTTTGTTTGAAGTCTGAATTAATTAGTTTAAGGATTTGGGAGGTATAATGTTTGACTTAGAAAGATATGGATAAATTGGCTATTATTTGGTACTAACTTGTTCACCTTTTTTTAAGCCAGACCTAAGCTATAAGCTGCTTGAGAAAGAAATCAAATTGTAAAAGTTTTTCTGATACCATGTTTGGGGAAAGAAGAGGCTTTAACTCCTTGCAGTTCCCCAGCAGTGTACTAGAAAGAGAAACTACAGAAAACAAAATTTCATATATGGTACTTCCCTCTTCTCACAAGATTATCTTTTCCCATTTTGTTCTGCCCTCTATATGCAAACTTTTTTTATAACTCATGCTACAAGCCTTCCCCCCCTCCTATTGGAATAAAAAATTCCAACATGTTTCTCATGCAAATCATCACGTGTCATCTCTCCACCAATGTGCCACTGCTGAAAAATCACTTCTCGCTTGGCAGTGCTTGAGTTCAGATGTCTTTCTTTTTTGCTCATTACGTCTTGAAGTGGTTTAACTTAATTTAATTAACTTTATTTCAAGAATTTTTTCCACTTTATTTAGTTTGATTTACCCATGTTTTGCCTCATAATTTTTCGCTTGTTTGTTTGGTATCAAGCATGAATTCTTAAGTTAACATTACCACTTGGGTACATCTCATTCGTCTGATGCCGTACTTCAGGTCACACGTGTGGGTGACCCTTTGGGAGATTTATCGACCTTTATTCACAGGGAGATTGAGCATTATACGAGACAACCTCTGTCTCCTGACCAGTTTGATGAGGATTTTGATCGTCCACCCCCACGAAGTTCACCATGCCTTCCCAAACTTGAGACCCATGTCATGTCAACCCATGATCGGTGGGATATTCTTCTTAATGATGCATTTGCCATCACCCTCAATCACCAGTTAACTTTGTTTTGGTCCCTGGTTCCTCAGACTTTGGCTATAGGTGCCTTCATCCAGGATTGGTTGAACAAGTTTCTTTATGTTTATCCTCTTATCCGATTACTTCATTGGGTAGTGCCTCCCTCATCCATACCACTTTGTACAAAGCCCTTCTGATTGCTCCTTACTGGCTTGCTCGACTGTGGTTTCCTTGATTACTCCAGCTACAGTTGTTTCCTCCCATCCCTTTTCCTCTATTCCCCAACTTTCTTCATGAACTCCAATCACCCATTCTGCATCCTGCATTTCCTCTATTCCCCAACTTTCTTCATGAACTCCAATCACCTATTCTGCATCCTGCACTTCAAGTCCTTCATCTTCACATCTGGCTTTTGTCCAGTCCCAGGTGAGGAGATCTGGTTTCTCACATCAGGTGGCATCTCATTTAGTTCATTCCGTTCATCCTTCATCCATGGCTGTGTATCATATCAGTGGAAATGGAAAGTTTTTTGCACCTGGGCGCTGACTTGGGGTATCCAAGCTTCTCGTCCTACAGTTGTTGGTATCTCAGAGTTTGTTATGTGGCATTTTGATAAAGGGTCTTCAGTCTTCTTGATATTGGGTTATTGGGTAGCTCTATCCCATGCTTTTCATTTTTTCCTTACCGCAAGGTCTTTCTTTCCCCTGACCTTGCCATTTTGATCCATTTTTTTCCGGATCTGTTGGCCACCTAGGCATCCGTACTTCTGGAATAGTACAATAACGTGATACTCCATTCCCTTACTTTAACTCTATTTGAGCCCATTTCCTCATGCTCTTTGTTTCACCTATCCCTTAAGGCATATTTCCTTCTCCTCTTGGCCTGCGGCCTGCATTAGTCAGATCTGTTTGCTATCAATGTCACTCACACACTGTACCACCAAACCTATCTTCTACTTTATCCAGATCGTTTCTTCCTTCTCAAGACCTTGGTAGCTCATGAGGGTAACTCCTCCTTTTTGCCCACTTCCCTTGCCTCTATTTCTCATCTCTACTCTTGTCCTGATCCCGATAGACTTCTCTGCCCATTCTCATCTCTTTATCCCATGGCAACCTTCTCAGGATCTTTTTCCCTTTACCCTTACCAATTATGTTCATTGTTTAATCCTGTTGGCTTATTCCTCCTTGTTTCCTTCCCAATGTGATTTGTTCTGTGTTACCTCTCATAAAACCCAACACCTCACCTTTTCCCTTGCTTTTCATCTTCCTTGACCTTTGGAGGAGATTCTGCAGTCCAGCATGTGGACTACATTTCAGACGTTCATCTCCCATTACTTACATCACGTCGCAGTTTCCGCTTTCTTGGAGTAGAGTATCGCCTACCACCTGTGGCTATACTTTAGACCTCTGTGCGGCTATGACACTAGGTAAGTCTTTATTAATGCTTTCTTTTCTTTCAGGGGCCCTTGCTTTGAATTGAATTTTATCTTTTGGATCCTACTCTGTGGCAAGTTGTGCCTGACAAGGTATTCTTTAATTTGAAATCTGTACTGTCAAGCCATGTTGACTTGCACTTTAGCTTCCATGGCTTTACATGCTCACCATTTAGATGGGGTGTTTCATATGATCACTGGATGGTCAATAAGCTTGTGATATTTGCTTCATAACTAAGCCCATACTGGACCGTACCACCCATGAATGGCATGGGTAAAGCAGAAGAGGATAGCTGCCCATATCTGTTATGCCTTGATTGAATCAGTCGGTATGGTCTGATTTTGAAACTAGGGTTTCATGATCACCCATTGCACTATCTCGGGTGTAGCTGTTCCTCCAGACTCTCCCCACTTTCTGCCAATGGAGTATGGAAGTCCTTACCACTTGCTAGTTCCAAGCTGCAGGGGTGGTTGACCATGGAGGTGTCTGGCTGAATGGGTTCCACATAGATGGCTATAACCATTCAGTTCAGAGTAGGGTGGGGGTGTTCTGCTGGTGTAGAAGGTGTAAAATTCTCCGGATTGAGTGACACATACCACGGAATGAGATATCTAAATGCAGTTCACCCCTACAATTGGGTGCCCTCATCATACCCTTGCATGGATGTCGGTACCCTGCTCGCTGGTTTTGGATATTGAGTGAACCAATCAACTTAAGTCCTCACAGGTTTGGGGTTGTCCACAGTCTTTCCTCGATTCTCCCTTCTGTGTAGTGGGTCACAGAGGGTATACGTGGGATGTTTTCGTTTCTGTCTTGGGCACTTCTTCGATATCTCTTGTGACAGGGTTGCTATTGACTTTTGGACATTTTGGACCAGTCTAATGGGAGTTGATTGCATGCAGTGAATTTCCCTCTGATTGTGGATTGTGGTACCAGCGAAGAGGTTTTGGATGTAGTTGACTTACTGAGTAAGGTTCACTGTACCCTAGCGATTGTACACCCTGGGGCTAATCCTCCATTATTCACTTTCGTTCTGTGGGATTGAGTTTTTATATATATCCAATTGGGATCACTTTCCTGACTTCCTCTTTTACTCAGATGTGCTCCCTTCCTTTTCTGCCGTGTTTATTCCTAGATGTTCGTGGCGAAGAGATACCTGGTTCAGAAGCGGTGCGATGCCCCTTCTCAGATTACATGTTCTTTTTATCTTATCTACAAAAGTATCCTTCAGACACTTTTAGGGGTTATTTTTTTTAATTGTCTTTAAGTTTATGTTGTGTTAGGTAATTACAAGTGAGGGTTTTAATGTGTAGATGTGGTTCTTTTCCTCTTCTCATGTATCATGTTCTATATATTTCTTATGTTTCTATCTCCTTCATTTGCTAGATTTCCTGCTGTTTAGTCAGTATGAAACAAGTTTAACTTTGATCAAGTAAGGTTGGGTTAGTTAGGAGTTGTTAGTTTCAATTTGTGTTTAAAAAAAACAAACTGTATCCACAGAATTTGATTTAGTGTATAATTTAACCTAGAGTTATGTGGCATCATTTTTAATGTGATATGTTTGTTCTTATTGGGTGAACAGTTTATATAGGAGAGTTATCTGTTGAGAACAGTTTGATGCTACATAAGGAAGTGATATTTTAAACTGATTTATTTGTTGCAACATTAGTACTTATAAGTTTGTAAATGTGGTTCGTAGTAGTATAAATTGACATTGTTTTAGTTAAACTTGGTCTTTCTTTCACTCTCCTATTATGCTCTACTTGTCACATTTTCTTTCAACCACCAGCCTCAATATCTGGCTTGTTGCAGTGGCTCTCTGATTTGGCCAATGGAAAGATATTGCAATTCTGTTTAGTTACATGAGCTTTACAACAAGTTTATTATAATGAAGGACTACTAAAAGTAAGGTAGTTGCTCAAAACCTAGTAATATACAAGTAAATTAACATTAATAAAACAGTTTTACTGTGCTGATAATTTATGTAGAAAAAGTTTTTTATTTAAAATACATTATGTGAAATGAATTTAATAATAATGAACGTATTATTTAATTGAATATTATTTTCTAATACGTTCTGCAATGTTAACTGTTTTTTAAAATGATGTAATTGGTTTTATAGTATTTTGTGGGGAATATCTTATCTATAAATTAACTTAAAGAAGTGTATATAAATTAATTGAGACTATTTTTTGTGGTGTATAGGCAGAAGAACAATTGACTTCCATCAACCTTCTTGAGCTAGCAGCCAAGCTAAATAATACTGCTGAAATTTTACCGTCATCTCAATTAGAAGTAAGTTTTTAGATAACTGTTGGTTTTACTCAATTATAAATATGCTGTTTTAGTTTTTATGAGGAAGGAAACTTTTTGATATCCTGGTGTTTTCAAAATCACTTTCTGATAGAGAAAATACTTCCTATAGGTTTGTTGTTTTCTGTTTTGGCAAAGTATTATTAAAGAAATATTCTAGGGTGCAGTAATCTATTTAATAATTCTAATGAATGATTTGTTAGTAATATCACTGTTTGTCATCTAAATTTTTGTGAAACATGCTGGAATTTAAGAGATGAAAACAAAGTTAATATTATGACATTTCTTTAGCTTACTATTATTTTCTTAAAGTTTTTTTTTATCTTTTTTTTTCTTTAACTGTTTCTGGGCTAGTGAACACCTTTCAGGTGTCCAGTGCACAACTGCATATAAAATTTCAAACTTTAAGTAAAAATAACAATTCTATTTCAAAAATGTTTTCTTCAAAAATATTGAAGAATTCATATTTTATTCTTAACAGTAATGTAATTAGCAAAGAAAAATCAAAACAGTGTTCAGACACTCACTTCTATACATCTTTTAGGATTCTTTTTTTTTCTTTACTTTTTCTGCTCATCATAAAACGTAGGTTTATATTTGAATAGAAACATGTGTCCCTTGAGAATATAATTAATGAATATCAAGCACATTGAAACTGATTGAATATATAAAATGGGATATTCTGATCAACATTAAAAAAAATTAATTATAAAATAAAGGATGTATTGTTAAAATTCTTTTTCAAAATATTGTCACAAAATATTTTGAAAATTTCACAGCATAAAAAAATTATAGAAAAACTATATCAAATTATATGAATTTTGTTAAAGCAGGAACTAGATACTATGTAGTTAATTTTTGTAGGTTTCATGCAATTTGGTTAAGTATTTTTACTATAAGAAGGTAAAAGTCAGGGGATATCAGCGACCAGTCCAGAAAGGTTTAAAAATTGAGATTCAAAACCCTAAGGAATAAAAAATATATAAATTTTTTCATACTAGCCATTTAAAAAAAAACACATTGGTGATGTAAGGGAATGATGTAATCCAATATGCCAGAATGCATCTATATACAAAGAGGTGATAAACCTACCCTATGCAAAGTAACTGTTAAAATATGTACTATGTCATTCTAATGTATTTTTTGACTAAAATATTATGAATATAAATTAACACTGATATTTCATCTATTATTTCATTTGGTCTTGAATTTTTTGGGGTATTAGAGAAAAGTTAGTTTTGAAAAGGAGAAAAAAAATATGTGATATGTATATCATTAACAAGAGGGATATATTTGGAAATATGTTTTGTAATTTATTAAGTAAATTATACAAAAAGCCTTTTTTTTTAATTAACCATGAAAATGATAAACTAAGCATTTAGAATACTAGATTATTAGATTTACTATTTGAAATACATTTTATGTGGTTTATTGTAGTTTAATGAGTGTAATTCTTACATGGCGACAAAAATCTTATTTATATTCACACTTTTATATTCTTTCTAGCCAGACTTTGGATTTCGATCTGATTTACTCTGGTGTTTGATCTGGCAGTAAAACTGATATATATTGAAATTGCAGCTTTAAGCTAGTTATGGGGTATGATTTGTTAAGTAGTGTAATATTTTATGTTTCAATAATTGTTGTGTTCCATATCTTCATATCTTTATGCATTAGTTGGCTGCTAAATTGAGAAATAGTGCTCTGCAGCTAGAAAGTTATCATCTGAGGTTGGTTATTTCCATCAGATCCTCCTTGGTAAGTTAAAAACATTAATGTTATCATCCAGAAAATTTGCTTGAACAGAAAGAATCTGGTGTATGCAATATTAGGCTTAATAGTTATTATATTTTTAAGTAAGTAGAATCCTGTAATTTCAGAATTGGTAAACCAATAAGGCTTAAATTGTTGTCAGATATAAGATAATTAATCAGAAATTAGAACTATATCCTTTCTTGTCAGACAGAGCAGTTCATAAGAGTTAAAAAAAATACAAATAATATTTTCTACCCTTATTAGCTCCAGATGTTTAGAATGACATTTTTTTCTGGGATTGTGTCACTGTACAATTGGTGTTAATTGTTGGGCATGGTAGAAATGACCTGGTTGGTGGGATCACTTCAGTACTTTCACGTTACAGTTTGGAGAAGGGTGCCACTTCTCATTTCATCACATTTTACTGTACTTTATTCATCACAAAGGATTACTATATCTTTTGTTTTATTAAAATAAGCTTGACTTCTTAAACAGTTCACAATTTTGTTTAGTATGAATCTCATTTATTGTTGAATTGGCACTTCCGATTTTAATTTTTCACTAGCACAGATTCTTTGGTATAGGTAGTACAGCATTATGTAGTTTTAGTATATTTTAAAGAAGTGCTAACTGTGAATGTATTTTGAAAAGAAGTTTATTGCAAAGCTATTGTTTTTGGATTTGTCTTTGGGCTTAAAATGATGCTAAAGTAGAAGTGTGTATTTGTTTCATAAACATTAGTCAAATAGAACACACATATATAGTGAAGGTAAAAATAAATTTGTTTCAAAATACTTACCAGAATAAATAAATAAATAAAACAAACTCCTTAATCTGATGAGCCATGACAGTAAGATTTCAAATAGTTTATCATATCAATTTTAATGAACTCATTCTGAGTTTTTAGTGAGAAGAACTTAATCAACCAAGTGTTCTTTAAATTTTATTAATGCATAAGTTTTTTTTGGGATCCAATGTGATGGTTTCTGTCAGCTTCTATGTTTTTATATCATGAAAGCAACTACTTAAATTAGCTTAGGTTAAAAAAAACAAGTTCACATAAAACTGTAACTGGAATAGGTAAAGTCCCTTAATTTCTTAACCTGTTGATTAGAATTTTTGTTTCTTCAGTGGTCATCTTGAGCAGACAAAGAGCAGTTGAAATGCTGTTAATGCATTTTTCTTTAGTACTTACAACTTTTATAGGACCAGTTAAGAGTGAAATCTTAGAAATGATCTTTTTTTTATTTTGTGTTCATTAATTCCTGCATAAGCCTTTAGAACATATGATTTCAACAATGTTAATGGGATATTTGAATTCCTTCTTAAATAAAATAAGGATCTTTGAAAGATAATGAGTTCAGCTATCATTTTCTTATTGTTAAGGTTTTTGTTCTCTATGTAGAATAAACTCAAAAATGTTGCTGAACATATTCAGAAAGCTTCTGAATTTCATGGAAAGAAACTTAAGGTAAGTTGTAGAAGTTGGATAAGAATATGTTTTATCTGTTATTTATTTTAATGTATTTACTGAAATTAAAACTTACTCAAAAGGGTTTGTAGGAAAGAATCAGGTTTTTAAGGCCCATATCAGAAAGTATACATAGTTGTAAACCTCAAAAGTAATATTTTTCTTAAGTTCAGTCTGTATGAAAAACTTTTTACTGTATTAACTTGCATGATTGTCTAAGATTGTTGTATTATTTTATAACCACAATAATTAATGCTTATTCACATGATCTTTAGTTCAGAAGCTCCAGCAAATTTAGTTGACTACTTTACTATGTATGCAGACTTGTAAAACACATCTTCTGGTAGGATCTAGTAAGACAGTTAGTGTTGATTTAATGCCTGCAGATGTTATTTGTAAGGTGAAATAAAAATAACAAGAATTTTATTTGTGAACATTATAATTTTATTGAATATACTTTTAATTGGAAAAACAGTCTTTTATGTATATACCTAAAATTACTGCTGTAAGTCTCGCATATTTGTATACAAGAATGTTGAGGAGTAACTATTGTGCTTCTACATTTTGTTATCTATACAGATCAATCTGTTTCTATGTGTGATATATTTGTGTTTAAACATTTTCTATAATCTTATATATATATATATATATAAGATTATGGATTATCTCATTGTTGTATGTAAACTTTTCAACAACTTTGTGGTTAATGGTTTGCATGCTTTTAAGAAAATTTGGTAGATATATTATCTTAGGAGCAAATAGGTTCACACCTCAGGAAGAGTTATTATCACAACTTTTCCCTTTGTGAAATCAACTAAGCAACTGTTCACCAGTTTGAATAGTGAATGTCTAAAATTAATAATTCATGCGAACTTGATGTGATATACTTCCTCTTACTTAAACTTAATCTCAGTAGTTTCTCAAGAACATTTAAATGCTGAAATGTAATAGTTTCTGTAATGTCCATTGCCTTGCCATGTAGGATTTGCTGTTATCCATGCATCTGAAGAAATGTTTAAATTGCCATTTAAAAATTTTTTGTACAAGTTTTTAAGCTAGATTTTGGCTGTTGTCATGTCTATTTGTTCATCAGCATATCCCTTTTGTTATATTGGTAAAAACAGTAGTACTTTTATTATAGGATGTTATAATTGAATTACTGGAAAAAGCACAATGGGCACAGAAATTTATCCAGACAAAAGGAAAAGAAGAACTTAAAAAGGTATACTACTGATGATTTTAATAACTAGGTACAAAACTTGTGCTAGAAGTAACTTTAGATGATGTTATAGTGTTTAATAAGGTTGACGAAGGAGCAATGGCTTTTGTATAAAAATAAAGTTGAAAGTATTTGAGCAGTGTACCATACATTTGTAGAAAATTGTTTTGTTAGGTTTTGTACAGTAGTAGTGTAGTAATCTCTAACTGCTGTTTTGGCTAGTATAATCCAGTTTAGGACATAAATAGTTAGTATGTATTCAGATTACACAATTTGTACTAATTTATCTATATATAAGCATGAATGTGCCTCCCTCTCTGTGGGTTTGTTCTTTATGCACGGCCACGTCTTTAAAGCTACAAACTCCAAACTTGGGGTACAATTACAACTGTAACATGGGCTATTTGGTAATTTGTGATCAGGAGGGCTATTATTTACATTTTTTCTCTGTGTGAGAACTTCTTCTAATCATTCTACCCGTGATCAATTATGTGTTAAAATGATTTAAAAACTTTGTGGAGTCTTTATTTATGCTCTTTCCTTTCCTCTTTCTTTTTCTACACATATATGTCTACTCTCTAATTCCCCTTAACTGAAAAAGGCTGATGTTTTCTCTTGAACATGTGCACACATTCCCTCAACTAAATAGGCTTATTTCAACCATGTCTTTTGTTTTACTTGCATGTACTCACAAGAATTAGCTATATGATGACTTCACAAAAATGTTTGGTATTGGCAAATTTTCATTTACATTTTGTTGTAACGAAAAGAGAATAAAAAATTATTCATTAAATTGAATGATAATAAAGTCAGAATACACTGAAAACGACACTTCACCAAGTAGCAGAAATCAGTATACCAAAAGGTAGGGAATTTTGTTTTGGAAACTTAAAATGTCATACAAAGCACATGCAAGAATCAGGAGCAATCTACCTGGTTTTACTTTGTTTAAAATAGCTTTATTAAATTCTTGTTGTTATTTTTTTAAACTTTAATCAAGATATTTAGTTAGGTAAACAATTGATTTAGATTTTTTTGCAAAAAAAAAAATCACTTAATATGGTTGATTTCATCAAAACAGCTCAGGATATTTAAAACCATTTTCATCCCAGCAATGCTTGGGTACTCTGGTTGTTATTTATGTAAAGCTGCTTTTGACAATATTATATATTTTTTCGTCAATTCATAACTATGTTTGTAGGCAACTGGTAATAACTAACCTGTCTAAAATAATTCCATCCATTCCTTCTCAGATGTCAAAATTGAGCTACATTACATTTCATATATCCTAATTTAATTCAAATTGTTCTATAATTATAGACTACATGAGAGTACATAGGTATTTCAACTTTACATCACACAAAACCTTTAAATAAAATACCAAAAATTATATCAAAAGGTTTTATCTTTTAATTTTAAGATATTACAGTTCATGATTGAATAGTTTAAAAATATTAAATTTTTCCAATTATGAAAGTCCTAAAGTCCAATTTTCCAAAACATGTATGTACTTCATTATTCCTTTTGAAAAGGAAATTGTTATGCAGTTAGTTCCCTTACAAATTCAGAGCTTAAAATTTAACAGTTTATAAATGATAAGTTGACTGTTATCATGCACAATAACATCTAAATATCATTGGGCATTTTTATGTTGGTTGAATAGTTTATTCCTAAAAAATTAGGTGAGTTGTTATGGTTTGTGAGATGTTTACATTTTCTGTAATAATATACTCATATTTTTACTGGGAGGAGGAAATCCACCAACTTGAGTTTAAATGGTAGAAGTCTTTATTTGAAGTTATTTGAGTGTCTAACTGATGCAGTTAATAATTAGGCTTAGAGGTTGTGTTAGATCAAGTATCATTTGTATTATTTTATAAGCAATCAGTCAAATATGTTTTTATAAAATATTATATAAATGTTTTCAATGTCATATAAACACTTGTATGATTTATGTTTCTAGCACTTTTATTACGAGTCTTATCAAGACTAGTTCATTTTAAGTTAATACCTGGAATAGGTATGTTAATAAAAACTATTAAGCTGTGTCATATGTATTTGATGTAATTTTCCCCATACTTCTGTGAAAGTTAGGATTAAATTGATAAGGATTAAAAGTTTATGTTTAAAAATTTTTACTAAACACATAAATTGAATTAATTATAATTATTAGTTGTTTTCTGCAAAATATTAAACTTTAATTGAAAATAATAATATTTCTAGTTTCTTCATTTTATGCCTTCAGATAAATGTTTTTCACACTTAAACTAGGGGATCTGTCAGTTGCTTGCTACGAGAAAATCAATACAAGGAATGCTATGTGGTATGTAAAGCTATAATATAGGAGCTGTATTTAATACAAAATTCTGATCCTGTAATGATAAAGGCATTTGTTTCAAATATCTCATTATGTATTGTTCATGCATCATTTAAATTTTGTCAATTCTGATTGATTTGTAGTTTAAACTTCATCATTTGTTCTGTTTGGTAGCTTGGGAAGGAGTTTGTGTCAGAATTTACTGAGCTCATAGATCAGTATGCTGCCCATGTGAAACAACAGGTAGGTTATATGAACATCTTTTTCAATTGATGAAACTTATTAGTACAATTTTAAAGGGTCTGTTAAGATTTACTTTCCTCTTTTTTTTTTTCAAAGTTAATGAGAAGTGTTTCAGTTTAGGACTGTGTTTGTGTGTGCATGCAAGCATATTTCATGAAGAAAATATATGCAAACATCACTTAATTTAATAGATTTGTTTTGGTTAATACTATGACTGAACAGCTAGACAAAACGTTAACTGATAGTGTGTAAACATGATAACAGCTTTAGAGATGGAAATGTTTTAGAGCATATAACAAATAAAGAGGAGGCAAAAAGCTATTAATGTACTATTGATATAAACTCATTTTCATTCCAATTAGGAATTATGGGTTAAATTATTGTCTTGTGATATCATAAAATTTAATATTATTGCTGTATTGTTTAGTAATGAACTATTAGAGATGCCTTCTACTTATTTATATTTTAAACAGTGATACATAGTAAGAAATATGGCAAACAATAAGCAGCAGAGTGTCTGTTGTTCACAATGTCAAACTAAGATTTTCCCTAAATTTATTACTTCATAAGAAAATTTGGTGGTAAGTAGCTTCCTTGATTATGTTTTTGTCATAAAATATTTCTACAGTTTTATTGGTCATGTGTATCTGCTGTGAATGAAACATGTTACATTATAAGCATTATCGTATATATATATATATTTCATAATTTTTACACATACACATTTATCTTGATTCATTTTTGTTTTAAACTAGTAAAGGATAGATCAATTAATGTTATTTAAAAAATTATATTTAAAATGTTAGTTATTAAAAGTAACCTATCGGACATTATACATTTAAATATATTCCCCTCATGCATTTTGTCACCAATTGTTAATGGAAGCAGAAATTAGAACCACCTTGTACTACTCAAGGGAATGAGTTATCACAGAGACTGATACTAGCTATTTTGTCCACAGGCAAATTTTTCTCAGTTACTTTAGAAATTACTCGATAATGTTAGTCACATTGAGAGAAATAATGAAACAAACAATTCACAAGTTATGTGCTCTCAATGGATATAACTAATTAGCTAAGAAAGAGAGAAAAAAAAGTACTTTTACAAGTATAACATCAGCACAAATTACATCGTTTGAACACAATAATTGTTTGCCATTGATGAAAGTGGCAGCTGTTGTTTGTTACCACGAACATTTTATTTTGTGTTACTACATATAATTATATTTCTACACTATTTGTGCTTATATTTATCAAACATCTGAAATCTTTAAAGGTTCACCACTGTTTTGAATAATGGCTGCATAAACTTTGTGAATACACATGTTTAGTGTTACTGACAAAAAAAAAAAAACTTGCAAAGTAGCATAAGAAATTATGATACTTGATAATGTAGTGTAGGTTAGTTGACACAAAAATATTGTAATCAAGGATAATGGTAAAAGCTGCGGTTGAGGCAGAAGGTCAAAGACATTGTTATACATAAAGAATGAATTTTTTTCTGTTAGTCACAAGAAACTTCAAATTAGGAGCTAAGTTTTTCAAAAACATTTGTTGTTGCTTTCGCTAGCTATCAATGACTTACATTAAATATAACTCACCATGCATTTAGAGAACTACCATAAAACTTAGAAGTAACATGCAAATTGCTGAAAAATGTTTCTTAATAATAAAGATAGCTGAAAGTATAGATTTGAGTTGTAGTTTGAAAACTGCTGTTTTATTAATAGTTATGTTAAGTTATTGTAATTTTCTTACAGGTAACTGAAGAGATAGGAAGATGTGGACCTGTTAGTCAAGCATATAATGCTTCCTATGTTGCTGCATGCAACAAAGTCATTCTACCTTTTGTAAGTACCTGTTCAAGGTTTAGATAATTACAAAATTTATAAATATAGTGTTTCTGATTGTAAACAGTAGTAGTATGTCTTGGATATCATTTGGAAGAGTGCAACATATTGCTTGTAACATATTTGAGGAGAAATATATACAGTATTTTATATAACAGTATGTCAGAGTTTTACATGTAAGTGTGTGGGATGATGATTCTTCTACAGTAGGTGACTGCGACTTGTTGGCGATAAATTTGACAATAAACGGACAGCACACACTCCACCTCCACTTGTTTGAACATAATATATTTAAAACAAGTCAAATGTATTTAAAAAACTCTTTTCACTATGGAATATCACAATTGTATTTCAGACTCTAAATAGTTCTCTCTTTCTTGTCAAAAGTCCTCTTAGGCTGATTCAATTACTTTAAAATCCAATTGAAAAGACAAATTATTTTTCTCTAAACAGTTTTGTATACCCAGCACAGTTGCATATAACATTTGCAATTACTTGTGCATATATCATTAGCAGACTTTTGAAGCCAGCTATGTTTAAAAGATGTTTTGATTTATAGCACTGTCATTTTCAAAATTGTTAATCTTGTTAAATATTTGGTTTTAACCATCAAGCAAATGAAAACAGTATTTTAAACAACTTGGTTTTATTTTTTCCCTCTTTGTCTTCCAGAATGGTTTTTGGGCCAGCTTGGGTTGGTGTAGTTTACTGTGTATTCCTTGTATCTTTATTGCTGTAACACTTTCTGTCTTATATAGAAGAATTGATCCATATCCTGGTCCTTTAGTGGATTCGTAAGTACCTTTTATTTTCTACAAATATTATAGCTATAGCTCCTAGGTTTCAAAATTTCTGCCACTCGGAGAGTTAACAACTTTTCAAAGAAATTGACTATTAAAATAAGCAGTAAAAAATATCTTATTCTCTTTAAATTTTCAAAATTAACAGAGTTTATAGAAAAAGTTCTAAAAAATAAACTAGATTAATACTAATACATGATTAATACTAGATACATGTAAGTTGTTAATTGTGGAAGATAATTATTATTATTGGGAGAAGGAAAGTGTTATACTTTTATCATCAAGCTGAAAAGCATGTGTTATTCTGGTTGTATGTTCAGACAACAGTGGTATTAATTATTCTTGTGAATTTTTATGTGAAAGTTCTGAACTCACTATATTATTTTCTTTTAATGTAATGTCCATGTGTTTCTATGTTTGACAGCTGATATCTTGTAGGTACTTTCGGAATGTTCTTATTAAATGGAGCATGTTATGTTAAATCTAACAGGAACACTTGCGTTAAATTTGTAAAATGTATTCATGATTAAATGTAAGTGAATAAAATAGATCTATTCAGTGATCGCAGATACAAAAATTTGAATTGAATGAACCTTAAGAAGAATATTTTCTGGGTTTTGTGGATATCCCAAAAGTTTTAAGGGATATTATTTTATAATCCTTTGTTTGTAATTGGAGCCTACCCTCGTTTCATGAAATTAAAAACAATTTTCACTTATTGTGCATGATTATGTAGAAGTCACTTCTAAGTATGAATGGCCCTTTTCCTTGATGCTCAAAATTTCCAAAATATTTTGCTTTCTTGAATGAAATTGTAGGTGTGGCTTTGCATAGCTTTGGTTTGAAAATTGTTTTACCACACTTAATTTTAAAAGTTTGCCTTAAGGTATGAAATATGCATGTATCTGTGTTGATTGATTATAGCACACTAAAAATTTACAATACAAGTACAACTGAGAAATGAATAAGATGTATAAAAGTCCTCTTGCACATGATTTTTATAAGAAGTGTTTTAATAACTCGTATATTAATTTAGTATCTGGTTCTACTGTATGCTGAGGAGGTTTGATGACATTATAGAATGTATTTATGCTTTTACTCATTATATATTTTGTCAAGTAGGTTTTAGAATGTTAGTATTTGTTTTAGTATGGAAGATACTAATACCGGTATGGATACAGATTGATTATCATTTATGATATAAACTAACTGCATAACATGGTTTTATGATGCAAGTTTGTAGAATGTAGGGTAAATGAGTTATATTAATTACATGATTTGTGTTCTTTTAACAATAACATTCCATTAAAGTTATTCTTTTAAATCTTTTCATATGGTATTTTCTTAAAATTAGTTTATTTTAGGTTTGTAATGTTAGATCCTGAACCTCGGTCCGAGTAGTCCGATAAGTGTTCTTGTGATATAATTGTTAATGAGATCAAATATTTGCTTTCCTTGCCAAAATTCCTATTGCTAATCAACAAGATTTTAATTGTTCCAAGAAACCAAAATGCTGACAAAAATATATATCATGTAGGATAAAGAAAACATTTTATTAAAGTAAGGTTTTATCACCTTTAGGTGAAGATGCTTGTTTAATTTTAAAAGCATGTATGAAATTCCAAGCCTGTTGGGAAAATGTATTTTGTAAATGCTCTAAATTTGTTCACTTGGTTGTAGAATAACTTTTTTTTTACTCTTTTTAAATGAGGTTTATTGTAAAATTCAGTTCTAAATTCAATTTTAATGTTACTTAATTCTTGACATTCTTTAGCTGCTGCCAGAATCCAAATATAGCTGTTCTATCTTCAGTTGTAAACCTACAGATGTAATGGTTGAGCACCTGTTTATTAAATGAACAAATAAATGAAAAATCATGTCAAAGGTTATAAGAGAGATAAACTACATAAAAAAAAAAGTAGACCTAGACACCTATGAATGATGCAAGTTAATAGTTATGTTGAAAAATTTTATTATTTCAAAATGAAACTGCTTGACATCAAAAAAGTTTTTTTTACAGTGACCATTATTTTTTGACACTGACTATGTATAAAGAGAGTACAGATTGCATTGAAATGTTATATTGTTTCTTGGATGAGATTATTACTATGACACATTCAGAATAACTATTAGAGGAAGCCAGACTAATGCAGCAGCTAGTGGCAAGTAGCTTTGTCCACTTAAGTGAAAAACAAAAAGTGACAATATTTATGTGAAATTGTTGGCAAGCAGTCCTTGTGTAAAATTTGCTTAGGCTAAAGGCATTGAAAGATTGGAACTGTATTGACAGTCAACTTGATAAAACTGATTGAGATTTAACAAGAGTAATGAACAGACAATGTGTTTATGTATCAAGTAAGTGGAAGTTGTTTTCAGTTTGTTTAAAATCTGCAGGAACTTCAGTGTATAAGATCTAAAATTAAAGAACAGTGGTGACTAAGGATGACTGTGTCTGCATTAGGTTGACTTACAGTCATTTAAAGATTCTAGTTCATATAGTTGAAAAAAAAAGTTTTTCAAGTAATATCTTGTTTTTTAACATAAAACTGAAGTGTAAGGAAATAAGGAATACATCTCAAATTCCCAAGGTTTTAGGTCATCACTTTAGTTTTGAGATAAGCAAAAACATGGCTGTTGGGTTGGTTTCTTTTCAAGACTAACCTGGTGTTCTTCTCAACTTCTTGCTTTTCAGGGACTTTGCTTCAGATAACTATGCTGATAGGGACAATATTCCTCTAGCCAAGTAAGTGGCAGTTTACTGCATATTTCAAACTTTTCACTCGTGGTTAAAGTCACTTAAATTTTCTCTGTCTTTAGGTGTGATTTTTTTTTTCCTTGCAGAATATTCCATACCAATACCTTTGTTTCATACAAAGAGTATGGATGTACCCTGAAACTTTAATTTCCATTCCAGTTTGGGTATCTTCAAAAGAAAAAATAAGCTTTGGTACAATTCATGAAACATGAAAGGATAGTTCAATTTATCAAAACAGAAAGTTTGAAATGTTATGAAAGACAAAATAAAAATCACTATTTGTGGTGATAACTGCACCTCATCATTCATGCTATATTTAAATTTCAAGTCAGTTATAAGCTACACTTTGTTTAGCCTTTTCATGTGTATGTTTTTGGGTATGTGAGAGGCTACAGTCACCTAGAAATACATGTTGAGTAATGTAATTTAAATGTGCAGAAAAAGATACAAAAACATGCAATTTGAATTTTTATAAAGATAGATTTATTTAGGATTTCAACAATATTTTTGTACATGTTTATTATTGGCAAATGCTGTATATTTTCCACCTAAATAACCTGCTAAAGCTTTTACTAATTTTGTGTTATACACAACTGTACATGCACTCCTCACTGCTCACTGATGTTACAACATGATCTTCTGTACATATTTTTGCATGATTGTTTATGTGTGTGTGTGTGTGTGTGTCAGGATTTAAAGATATGTTCAAACAGTTTGTCTGTGGTTGTTGTTACACAACATGAAATTCTTAACTGTAAGAAAATATTTTGGAAATATTTAACATTCAAAACAGAACAAGAGTTAATGTGAACAGTTTATTTATTGGATGCTACATTGTTTACTCACACTAGATGAGAGAAAATGTTATAAGCAAGTAGCATATAAAGTCAAAGCATGATTCTGCACTTCAGGTACTTAAAACTACTTCATTTGTTAGTAAACAAAAATTGCAGTTTTCTACACATGTGGTAAGTTAGTACTCTGTTTTGGTTCAGATGCTTCAATACAAATTAAACATTCTACACATGTGGTAAGTTAGTACTTTGTTTTGGTTCAGATGCTTCATTACAAATTAAACATTCTACACACATGGTAAGTTAGTACTCTGTTTTGGTTCAGATGCTTCGTTACAAATTAAACATTCTACACACGGGGTAAGTTAGTACTCTTGTTTTGGTTCAGATGCTTCATTACAAATTAAACATTCTACACACGTGGTAAGTTAGTACTCTGTTTTGGTTCAGATGCTTCGTTACAAATTAAACATTCTACACACGGGATAAGTTAGTACTCTGTTTTGGTTCAGATGCTTCAATACAAATTAAACATTCTACACACGTGGTAAG